CTCTGCCTACGGCGCGCTCTACGGCTCACGTGGTGCGCTGGCCTCTGCGCCCGGCGCGCGGCCTCCCGGCCCGGCCTATTGTGTGCTGGCCCCGCGGCCTCATCACCTGCGGCCGGCTGCCCTCGCGCCCCCACCCGCCCTGGCCGTCCGCCGCTGGGGGAGGCTCTGCCCGGAGACCTGGCAGGTACCCCGGGCCTTGCGCGGGGCCCCGACCCTCCCAACTGTGGGTTAGCGATCCAGCTCCAGACCTGGACCTGGAGGCCAAGCCCGGATCGCCAGAGTGAGGGCCACCTCCCGGGTATAGACCACACACACCGGGCACGTGCTGAGAAATGCACAGGCGGTCCGGGACGGGATCCGATTTGGGGTTAAAGTCAGCCTTAAAGAGAACCGGGGTGGGCTTTGGTGATCAGAGAGTATAGGGTGTCATTAAACTAAGGAGTTGTTGCTCGGGAAACTAATTGACGTGATTCCATTGTAGAGCTAGTGAAAGAATAATGATGCAGTGAGGGTTAATTATGATGGCTCATCTCTCAGATTTGAGGTAGTGGTAACAGCGGGTAACCCGTGCACTGATGTGGACAGGCTCTGCTGTGTTTCAGACCCAACTCAGAATCTTCTGCATCTTGACTTTTGTGTATTAAGCAATTAGAAGTTGGACTCTACCAGCTATCAATGAGTTTGGTTTTGCTTACCCAAAACAAGTTGACTCAGCTCTCTTTTTGTTTTTCTTTCAACACAAACCCCCAGGAATTTTGGCATCCATAGAGTTAAAATAAGGGCATTTGAACAAGTATAATAATAAAAATAAGGCATTTGGTTAGTGGCTAGCACTGGACTAACTAAAAGGTTATTGATTTGAACCCACACCACAACTTTTGAGGCAAAAGACTTGATAATTTCCTCCAGCTGAGATTTCAGAACCACTGCTGTTGGGTCGATTCCAATCCATGGAGACCCACCAAGGAATTTGCAGCTTTGTCCTTGAAGGAGACTGCCTCGTTGGTCTCCCACAAGGCTGTAGGTGGGTTCGAACTTCAGACCGTTAGTTTAGTAGTTCAATACCTAATGTACTATGCCCCAGCCTAGGAAACCCTGTGAGGTTGTTATCCTTTGTCACATGGTCTCACTATGAGGAAAATTCCAACTGGCTCAGGATAGGGCAGGCTTCAGAACTATTGTACATAGGGTCACTGTGAGTCACAGGCAACTCAATAGCACATAACAACATGTCTCTTAGTTAACAGCTATGTTTTCTCACTTGTCGAGGAAGAATAGCATCCAGTTCCTCAGTGTTGTCAAGTTTAAATGAGTACATATTTGTGAAATTCTTGGCACATAATACTTATTGGCTATGTATTTTGTTACTGGTATCATTCTGGCTGGTTTACATCTGTAATCCCCAAATTTCTTAAGAGCCAAGGAAACAGGTTTAGAGAGAACAGTGATTTGCCTGAGGTCAGGTTTTGACCTCTGCCTCAGGGAAGAACCAACAGTTTTCTTTCTTTTCTCAGTTGAAACTTAGATTCCTCCTCCACATCCGGATCCCCTAATTCCATTACGGTTAAAATGCACTGGCCTTGGCGAGCTCTGGTGGCCTAATGGCAAGAAGCTGCACTGCAATCCCAGAGGTGCATGGTTCATATCCACCAGATGCTCTGCTGGAGAAGGAGGGGCAATCTCCTCCTGTACCAGTCAGATCTGATTTGACGGTACACACACACACACACACACACACACAAATTTAAAAAAAAAAAAAGAGTAATTTAAAAAAAATGCACTGGCCTAGAGCTAAGAAGCTGCCCTGCTGTTCCAAAAGGCACATGGTTTGATTTCACCAACTACTCCATGGGAGAAGGATGGGCATTCTCCTGTGAGGTTAACTGCCTCTGAAAACCTGCTGGAGTCCATTCCGACTCCGTAGCACACAACAACAACAAACACATTTTAGGAGACTGGTGTTTCATAGGTAGAATATGTGCAGAAAACACAGCTTCACTTTCTTGCCAGAGCACAGTTGTTACCACCTTAAGCACAGTTATACCTTAAGCACAGTTGTTACCCCCAGGAGTCCCAACCAGACTCAGAATCCTTGCCCTTCTCCCAGGAAGATAATCTGGAGGTGGTGTGAACATGAGCAGATCTTACATGTAGCACGTGGGGCTAGTACCATCCCTGCTTCAGCAGTACTGCATGGAATTCAGGCTTTTGTGGGTATTTGAGAATCCTTAAGGAGTGGTCAGTGATGGTGCTCACAATCTCTAAGCTGCTAATATTTGGAAAGGGACATCATACTTGGAAAAATGGAGGGTAAGTGAAGGAGAGGAACAACTTCAGTGAGACTTCAACAATGGGCTTGAGTGTGTTAGAGGTGATAAGGCACAGAATAGGGCAGGTTCAGGTTGGCTGTTCACAGTACCTAGTAACAACAATAACACTTTGTTTGCATGTTCCCACCCAAAAGGTATTACCCACCTCGTTCTCTTCATTAACACACGACAGTGACTAAGAATGGCAGAAGAATAATTGATGCTTCTGGGTTGTAGTGCTGAAGGGCTCTGAATATCCCATGGATTGAAAAAAACTCCAATAGTCTTGGGAAATGTGCAGCCACAGTGCAGAGTGGTGAGGCTTCGGCTGAGATAGTTTGGGCATGTTGCTAGGAGAGGCCATTCCTTGGAAGGGGACATCATGCTTGGAAAGGTGGAGGATCAACAAAAGAAAAGACCCTTAGCCAGATGGACTGACATAGGGGCTGCAGCTATGGGCTCAAGTGTATTGAAGATGATGAGGATGGCACAGCAGAGGACGGGGTTCAGAGCTCCCGTTCGTAGGGCCACCGTGGTCATATTCAACTTGGTGACACCTAGCTTTCCCCTTTCATGACCCCCAAGCCTTAACCAATTAGTATTCTACTTCATGGATCTTTGAAAACCAAACCCAGACCCAGTGCCATCGAGTCAAGTCTGACTCGCGGTGTAGAATGTAGTAGAATACTCGTTTCAGAAGCAGATTGCCAGGCCTTTCTTAGGATGTTCCTCTTGCATTCAAATCACCAGGCTTCCCGTGTTAGTATCTAGTGCTGCTGTGGCAGAAGTTCCATGACTTTAACAAATAGAAATTTATTTTCTTACCATTTGGGGGCTTGCCAGTCTCTCAGCTCCAACTCATAGCTGACCTTCTGTTGGGTTTCAAAGGCTCTCACAAGAGGAGACTGTCTTGTTCCCTTAGAGCACCTTGTAGAGTCAGACCACCAGAGACTCTCAGCCTTTTTAAAAATTTTCTATTGGTTTACATTACAAAAGTCACATACGTTGTGTTTCGTTTGAGGCACGGCCTTTGAGTTAGCAACGTAACTCTACAGACTGTGGCCAGAGCTCCCTGTGTGAAAGGCTGGAAGTCTGAATGGAGAACACCAGGTACATAGATGGCGGCTTTCGTTCTTTCTCTCAGCTCTAGTGGAAGGCCCTTACTTTTTGGCACCTGGCGGTGGTCACATGGTGTGACATCTCTCTCTACCTACCTCTGCTTTCTTGCTTAGTTATTTGTTCAGTCTGCTCTGCTTTATATCTCAAAAAGGACTGAGAGAAGTTCAAGCTGCATCGAAGGCATTGGCAAGAAATAAGGCCCCAAGAATCAATGGGATACCAATTGACATGTTCCAGCTAACAGACGCAGGCCTGGAAATGCTCACCAGTCTATGCCAGGAAATTTGGAAGACAGCTGCCTTGTCCAGCTGACTGGAAGAGATCCATATTTGTTCCCACTCCCAAGAAAGGTGATTCAACAGAGTATAGAAATTATCAAGCAATGTCATTAATATCATTTGCAAGCAAAGTATTGCTGAACATCATCTGCAGATGACTAGAACAGTACATTGACAGAGAACTTCTAGAAGTTCAGGCTGGGTTTAGAAGAGGCCATGGCACCTTGCTGGTATGGAGCTTGGCTGAAAGCAGAGAATACCAGAAGAATGTCTTTGATACAAGACCAGAAAGTCAGGGTTAACAGAAAGGACGTGATCTACTGCTGAGATAGCAAGGTGGCCAGGCAAACTTCATCTGTAAACAAAGAATATCAGCTAGATAAAGAGGTCTTCCTCAAAGTCTTTTCATGTTTGGAGAATAAAGGACTCCAGCCTGATAAGGGAATCTAGCCTGATAAAGGAATCTCTAGCGTCCTGCAGCCTGAAAGGACACTTTGTCATTTTAAAGTATTTTTAAAGAGATTGTTCTGAAGATGAAGAATGTGGCATTGGGATTGAAAGAAGAATCACCAACCACTGGCATCACACACATGACACAACTTTGCTCAGAGAAAGCAAAGAGGACTCGAAGCACTTATTGCAGAGAGAAGACTACAGCCTTCAATATGGATTACTACTCAAGATGAAGAAAACGAAAATCCTTACCACTGGGTCAGTAAGCACTATCATAACAGAAAAAAATGGAAGTTGGAAGTGACTTCATTTCATTTCAAAATCAACACCACTGGGAGCAGCAAACTAGAAAGCAAAAGACTTGTTACATTGAACAAATAAGCTGTGAAAGAACAATCCAAAGTTCTAAAGAGCAAAGCTGTCAGTTTAAAGACTGAGGTGCACCTGATCCAAGCCATGGGATTTCCGTTACTTCCTATGTGTTTGAAAGTAGGATAGTGAGGAAGACAAAAGGGGACTCTTGCCGTCGAATTGTGGTGTTGGAGAAGAGTCTTGACTGTCCCATGGACTCCCAAAAGAACAAGCAAATCTGTCTTGGGGGAAGGGCAGTCGGGGTGCTTTTTTCGAGCCAGTGGTGGAACTCATCTGTTAGGCAGGTTGTCAGGAGGGAATAGTATTTGCAGAAAGACATCACGCTGGAAA